GCTTCTAGGAATCGCGGCGAGTTGGAACCGGGCGCGCGGGCGGCGGCTGAATAGAGTCTCGGCTGCACGCGCTGCCGCTGAGCTGCAGGGGCCTCCTTCTCGGCTCCTGGTGACCCTCGGGTCCTGATGAGAGGGAGGACACTAGAGTGAAGTCAGGGCAAATATGACCCTTTTTACTAACCAGCTAAAGCGACTCCTAATAGAGTTGGTGCTTGAAAATGTTGTTTCATCCTGGTCCACTTTCAATTAATTTTGATTAATGAAATGCCATTTGTGTCTCCGGGCTGTGAGTCTTAAGTATCTCTTTATAGCTGTCCATTTCTGCACCAGAACATGAGGATAATTATACCTCCCATCGCATTCATTTACTAATTATTCATTCAACGAATGTTGACCGAGTGCCTGCACTGTGAGGGGCACCATGCCAGGCACTGGTGATACCGGGCAAATATAGATGCATGGCGTCTAAGAGGGAACACATAATTTAAATTAGTCTCCTTGAGCTGCCATAACAAAATACCATAAACTGGGTGGCTTAAACAACAGAAATTTATTTTTCGCAGTTCCAGAGGCGGAGAATTCCAAGACTCAGTTCCTGGAGAGAGCCCTCTCGCCGGCTTGTAGATGGCCAGCCTCTCACTGTGTGCTCACAGGCTCTTCTTTGTGCACATGCAGAGAAAGAGAGATCTTTGGTGTCTTATAAGGTCACTAATCCTATGGGATCAGGGTCCCACTCTTATGAGCTCATTTAACCTTAGTTACTTCCATAAAGGCCCCCATTTCCAAATGCATTCACTTTGGGGGTTACATCTTCAGCATATGAATTTGGAGGGGACACAAGCACAAATAATAACAATTGATTAGTCAATCACAGTGTGGTCAGGGTTGCAAAGGAGCTAAAAAAAAAAAAAAAAAAAAAAACCACTTTGGGGAAGATTTTAAATGTGACCACCCACCTGGTTTTTTTCCCACTCCATTTCTTTGGGTAGCCTGTCGTCATTACCACAATGGACAGGCACAGTCTCCTACCAACTTATCTAATGTGCTGTTACTTTTCTTTCTTTCCTTTAGAACCGAATCCTCAGCTGAATCTATAAACAGAGCTCCCCATTGGGATAAAACAATTGATCACAATTATCAGGATTGAACACGTGATGCAGCATGAGCATCAGTAGAAGATGCTTGTGTCTTTCTAGTTCCAGAACCCACTCTGTCTGTGTCCGGGCCGTGTTGCTCCCTGCAGCTCCCGGCAGAGAGTAGGCCAGGACAACCTAGGCTGCTGTGGCTTCTGCACCCACTGCTCTCACTACTGCTGAAAGCTGGCAGAGCATGTCTCCTTCAGTGATAACTCTTTTCTGGTTTTGTTTTATCTTCCTCTCTGCCTTGGGCACCTTAGGATCTGGACTGGAAAAACTTCAACTCTGTTCTGCCTTAAAGAGAGTTCCCTGTATATTTAGAAGAGTCCACCTACCACAGATGTTAGAGGAGACATCTCTCTCCCCTCTTTCTCATGAGTGTTATTCTTAGTTGTTAGGGGTTGAATTGTGTCCCCCAAATTCATATGCTGAAGTCCTAACCCCAGTACCCCAGAATAATACCTTACTTGGATATAGGGTCTTTATAGAGATAATTAAATGAGGTCATAAGGGTGAGCCCTAATCCAGTATGACTGATGTCATTAAAAAGGGAAAATGTGGAAACAGATAGGCATACAAGGAGAACAGGATATGAACAAGAGGGCAGCCATTGATGCCAAGAAGAGAGGCCTGGAACAGATCCTTTCTTCAGAGCCCTCAGAAGGAACCAGCCATGCCAATGCTTCCATCTCACACGTCTCGTCTCCAGACCCAGTTTGCGGTACTTTGTTAATCCACTGGTGTTCTAGGCCCAACCTCAGTACCAATATCCTCTCTACCAATTTTACTCAATGTGAACAGGACTTCTGAAGGCCTGCTCTAATGTACCAGGACTCTCAAAGTCCTCATGTGGATCAGCCTCTCCTTCCATGGTGGCTGTCCCACTTCACTGAGAATGCACCCCCTTCATGTCTACATGGAAATCATTTCCTTAGGGACTAGGGATTAAATATGAAGACTCAAAATTTTGAAAATATAATAAAATCTTGGCTTTTTTTTTTTTTTTTTTTTTTTTTTTTTT